GCTGTATGTTTTAGTTGACTACCAAGGCCTATCATATTGTGGTCCACGTATCCTCCCTTAGGGCTAATCCTATCCTTGGCCCAACTGAGTCACTGGCTGAACTGAACCACATTCATCGCGGTCCACGTTGGCACTCTGCAGTAGAACTGCCGATCGGGGATATGCCTACCTTTTGTAGCATAGGGCAATGGTTAGGTTTACATCTTCCTAGCCTGGTTAAACCAGACAGAACGCTACGCTCAAAGTAAAACATTAGTGAACGTAGCACTCAGTCTGTTTTAACCAGGCTATAGCTAATCCACCTCCTCACTGGCTTTATGTTCAACAGAATGAGCTGTGATTCACCACTGTCCACCATACTGTCCAGCTTGTCTTATCCTACCATTCACCCAGAATTGCTTGAGGGTACGATCTCTTACATAGAGAAATGGGTGCTTTCCTATGGGTTTTTTATAGCATTGACTTGTGATCTTCTTTATAGCACCGATTGTGACCTTCTACTCTACTGAATGTTTTTTTCAGAGGCTGCAGGTCTCAGACAAAATAAAGTGCAACCGTTACGAGGTTAGGCCTAAGCTGTAGTCAGGGGCTACAATTGATTGTCTGATAATGTGATCTCCTGTCTAGTAATGTCTCTGTCAAATGAAACATGTTTGGAGATATCCATGACCATATTAGGACAAGACATTGAGGCGTGTTAGCTAGGCTGTTTAAAACGTTGATTGTACCAAACACTGCATGTACATGTCAGACGACAAGTTTTTTCTTGAATTATACGATATGGCAAGGTTTCATCAGTTGTTTTTGTGGAATGTTTGATGGTTAGAAGTCGTTAGAAGTTTCTCAACTTGAGGTTGAGTTCGTCAATCTTCAATAGCCTCTTATACTTACCCCAGGCAACCCTTCCAAACATCTGACCCTCTTTGAAATCTCTACCGCATTGTGCATTCTTTCATATTAAATCCTAATTGTATATAAATATATGTATATCATGTCTCAATAACTCCTTTTTATAGTGTGGTTGTTTATAATGGATTTTCTGTCTGTGTACATGGATGATTATAAATACATTATAACTATAGAGAATGATGTAAATTATAGGCCTAACCCCCAGTCTGAGCTGAACACACACGCCTAACTATTGTGGTTGGCTGGAGAGAACGAGAGAGAGAGGGAGAGTGAGAGTTGCACGAAAGAGAGGAAATCGAGGACAAACTTGGTTTTGGTCTGGATTCTTGCCTTTTTTAAAGGCAAGAATCATCTTCAATCATCTTCCATGTCCTCTATGTTTTAGCTCTTTTCACTTCCTATTTTGGTCTCCTTCTCATTCCATCCTGTCTGTAACACTTTTCTGTTCTCTCTCTTTGTTTTTCTCTCTTTCTCTGTCTCGCTCTAACAATGTCAGCTTGGTGTGACAGTAAAGGTGAGAGGTCAGGGGTCAAGGTGTCAGGTTGTGTGTCTGTCTGGTATTTGGCGCCGTACGAGGATGCCCCAGAAGAAAGAGTGAAAGGAGCAGGGGGTCGAGGTGGTAAACAAGAGGTTACCCACGGGGTGAGGTGAAGAACGCTCCTCAGTCCTGGTTCTCACCCTCCTTGTTTAACGTTGGACAGGGTTACAAAAGCTCTGCGATGTTAATGGGAACCAGTGCACCAGCCTAGAGGGTCATCTGGAGTGTGACTGGTCTGGTCTGCAGTGGTTTCATAGGGCTCTGTTTAGCATGTGTGTGTATGTCATGTCACCTAGTCTCCTTCAACAGTGTCTGTTCAGAGTCTCTGTGTTTGGACAACAGGATTGTTTGTTTCACTCTGTTGGTTTTGGGTCAGTTAACTGTTTTATGGTCAAAGATGTATTGGCCTGGATGTATGGAGTCCGTGTTTAAACTGTGATCAGTTATGAACACCGTTGAATGGTTTTATTGGTGTGTGTGGTGTGTGCCTTAGTGTGTGTGCTGTACAGTATGCATTCTGTCATGAATGCATACTGAATGCATCAATGAAACAGTAGGCTATACACATCAGAGTTTTTTTTGCCATCCTATCAAAGCATAGATTGCTTTTCGGCCCCAATATATCGTTTGTGTTTTAACATTAATTATACCTTTGGAAAGAATTGAAGGTGAAATAAGACATGGAAGTGCAGATAGAAATGTAACAAACAGAGCTAACAGGAGTCCTTATTCTACCTGACAGACAATCACATCTGCTCTACACAGTCCTTTTCTATCTGAGCGTTCTGTCACGTTTCACCCTCCTGAACAGGCTCCTTTCTAACAGCTGTCAGGAGAGTTCTGTGTCTGACCTAGCCCCATCTAGTGGTCAATTAAGTTAATTACATTAAAGCAGCCGTTCCGCTCCTGTTTCTTTACCTGAACTTCATTACGTTGCACTACATTTTCCAATAGTCTTACATTTAGGATTGTTTTGATTGGGCTTAATGCTATATGTGAATCATTTTTGTTGATAACAAGGCCTACATATAAAAGACACCATGAACAATTTCTAACATCCTGGTTGATAATGGTTGGAGTATACTACTGTATGTAGGCTATTTGGGTGAAAGAAAATGGATAGGCTAGTTCAATGACTGTGATTCCATAATCACTGTAGCTCACTGTCCGGTGTATGTGACAATAAAACATCGTTTAAATTTTTTATTTTTACTATGCTTCTGTGAATAAAGCAACTTATGCAACTATGCAACTGTGAATAAATCATTTACAGTACAGGGTGTTAACTCCCTTCACACACCTGGTACTCCCCTTTAATGACGCTGTGTACAGGGTGGTCTCTACTCTGTGACCATATGTGAGTGGTTAAAGGAGAGGGAGAAAGGATAAATAAAAGCAGGCAAAGAGAGAGCGGGGGCTTGCCTGCCTTGTCTACCCCTGTCTGGCTCCATATTTTCCACTCCTTGTATGTTTTTTTTGTGGGTGTGTGTTTTTGACGTTATATTTTCGTTCGTCCTCCTCTCCCAAGGCCTCCTGGCAGGAAGGGCCCATTGAGCAGAGCAGCGGTGAGCGGGCCGAAACAGAGGTGCTCATTGTGCGTGTGATCCTGCTGAGGAATCTGATACCGTATCCAGCATCACAGGGCCGAGCTGTCTGCATTTTCTCTCCTCCTACCTCTCTCATCCTCTTTCGCTCTCGTCCCTCTCTCACTGTCTCTCTCATCCTCTCTCTTTCTCCCTCGCTCCCTCGCTCTCTCCCTCTTTCCACCCCCTTCTCTCTCTTTCTCTCCCTCTCTCCCCCCCGTCTCGTTCTCTCAGTTCCTGTTTTGGAGAGTAAATGGGGCATTACAATATCACTCTCCCTCTCTGTCTGTAGAGAATTCCCTTTCTGCTACACCCTTGATCCGTCCTCTCTCTGAGTTAGTGTGTTGGTAATAGGCTGAGGTCCCGATTCTCTGAGTCAATATTAACGCACCATTTGAGAGTTCACCATCTGTCATCTGAGGCCTTCAAACAGGTTGCTAGCAGGGTGTCACCTAAACACAATTAGCCTGTATTGGATCATTGTGATGAAAATGATATAATATCATATGGTCCAGTTCATTGGTATTGAGACTCCAATACAGAGTACAGGCTGGTTTATGGGAATAATAGTATCCTATCATTACATATGAATGTGCTTTGGTTGGGACATTTTTTCAATGAATCAAAAGATACATTCCTATTCCAGGCTAGGATTGCTTTTCTCTTTCATTTAAAAAGTGCTGTTTATTAAATAGGCTGGAAATGGCTATAGTAAATGTGGCTTACTGTTTTTTTAATGAAATGGCAACAATAAAGACAATGTTGTAATTTGTGGAAATTCAGTCATTCCAAAAATTCCTGCCTTTAAAATGCTTGACTGGCATCATAAGGATATTAGGACTAGTGTTACTGCAGGGTGCACTATAAATGAAACTTTGCCGCCCACTAACAGTATAGAAAAATGTACCTAGCGTCTCGAACACAGATAGAGCAGCCAAGACCAACTCTGAATGAAATAATACAACCTTGAGAAAAGTCCCTCCTCTGAAACATAGTGAAGAAAGATGGGAGTACCTAACTTGCTTAGGCTGTACACACTGCTCTCTTGTTGGAGTGTCCAGGAACTTAGTCACATTCCTGAACCAACCAAGGGCCCCATTCCGGCTAAATTGGTAACTGGGTGGAGTCAAAACGATTAATCCTGCTAGGTAATAGAGCATGTTTGAAGGAATAATTGCTTTGTTGAGTACATTAATTCAAGCATGCAAGTTGTTTGACTTATCTCAGAAACTCTGTTTCCTGGTTTGATTGAATAAGGCAGTAGCATTCCACATCTTATCCAACCCAAGTCTTACTTGGGCAGAATAGACAGGTTCAACGTGGCACATTGAGTGAGGGCCAGTTTCCCAGACCCAGATTAAGCCTTAGCTAAAGAGCACGCTAAATGGAGAATCTCTATTGAAAGTGCTTTTTAGTCCAGATGTAGGCTTAATGTAGGGAAACTGGCCCTGAGGAGTCAGCCCATTGGTTCAGCCAAGCAAAGTATGGATGACAGACAGTCATACCTGGTATGGAGGCAGGATGTGAGATTGGCGGTGATGTCTGCGGTCGGTGTATTCTGTTTGCACAGACTTCCATGACTCAGCACTATCACATTTATGGTACTTGTTATGTTTGCTTGACAGACAATGGTAGAATAGAGGAGACTGTTCCTCAGGTTAGATAGAGTGTATAAGATGGTGGACTAGACTTGGGGACTTTCTATTGCCGTAAAAGCTTTTGCATTTATTTTCCTTACAGCAATAATTATGTCTATGATACTTTGACATCTGATGAGTGTAACTGTAGGATATAGGCCTAATATTGAATCTACAAATCTAACTGGAATGGTGGTGGGTCTCAGACCATGACCTATACAGAAACGTATTATGATATGTAAGATGATTCTAATCAATTGCAATCAATGTCAAAACTATATCATGATAGAGTCCATTCATGAATATGTAACAAAGGATCACGACCATAACTCCATGCAGTTTTGTCTATTAACCATCTCTCTCTCTCTCCGTCTCTCCTCAGATCCAGTAGATGTGTTGCGGATGCTGCAGCTGCCCTCTCTCCCCGAGGGGGTGCGGAAGGTTCCAGGCTTCTGCACCTCCCGCCGTGCCGGCTCTGGTGACCATGCCTACCGCATCACCAAGAAGGCCCAGATCTCTGCCCCCACCAATCAACTCTTCTCAGGTACAGTACCTCTATATCCATGTCTAACTAGGGTCGTGTTCATTAGGCAGCAAATGGAAGAAAGCAGACTCAAACAGGGAGGGACTACCTGGACTTTCCTAATAAGAAACATTCATTTTTGTTTTCTGTTGCAAAACGTTTTAAAATGTCTTCCATTGAGTGCCCTAATGAACACGACCCAGGCCTCAACTGGACTGAAGCTACAACATACCTCATCTCTCAGATTGACTTGGAAAGATGTGGTCGACATTACCTGTAAATGGGATGGATTGCTGAAACAATGGACACAGACTGGGGCATACAATGTATGCCACGTGCATTCTGTGAATGTATTTTTGTAATGTGTCGTGATTGCTATTTTTGTTCCTATCATTGTTTTTAGTTTTTAATGTTTATTTTCATCTTACAATTACCATAAGGAGGATAGTTGGGCCATAACTTTGCAGCTTTAGTGTTACATTGCTTTTGCGTTAGGCATATCATTATTTCGTGCAAGAGCATGTGAAATTGAAATGGCTTTGGAATAGCCTAAACAAATGAAGAGCCAACTAACTACCGTCTGAGACCCTGAAGCGCACTAGGATAGTAAGTAGCACTTATGTGGTTGAAAGCTCATTTTCTTAGTCTGGGTTTTTGATTTTTCTACACCTACCTCTTATGTCTGTTCACACTTCAATCCTTCAAACCCTCACCCTTTAAATTCCAATAAAATGTGCAGCTGTCTGCTCTTAGACACCCCTAACTCTAATTTGTCATCAATCGTCTACCCCGCTACTGTGTCTAATATCCTTCCTCTCTCCTCTCTTCTTTCTTCCCCCAATGCCTCCCTCTCTCCTTTCTTCCTTCTTCCCCAATGCCTCCCTCTCTCCTCTCTTCTTTCTTCCCTCAATGCCTCCCTCTCTCCTCTCTTCTTTCTTCCCCCAATTCCTCCCTCTCTCCTCTCTTCTTTCTTCCCCCAATGCCTCCCTCTCTCCTCTCTTCCTTCTTCCCCCAATTCCTCCTTCTCTCCTCTCTTCCTTCTTCCCCCAATGCCTCCCTCTCTCCTCTCCTCTTCTTCCCTTCATGCCTCCTCTTCCAACCCTCTCCTCCAGGTCGTTTCCCGGAGAATTTCTCCATCATGGCCCTGGTCAAGGCCCATGCGGGCCTCCAGGCCTTCCTGTTGTCCATCTACAGTGAGCAGGGTGTCCAGCAGCTGGGTGTGGAGCTGGGACGTTCCCCCGTCTTCCTGTACGAGGACCAGACCGGCAAGCCCGCCCCCGAGGACTACCCCCTCTTCAGCGGCGTCAACCTGGCCGACGGCAAGTCAGTAACAACACGTCCCGCGGCTCTGTGTGTGTGTGTGTGTGTCTGTGTCAGTGTTTGCATGTGTACTGGGTTTGATGGACTGGGGTTTTCAGTGTTTGCATGTGTACTGGGTTTGATGGACTGGGGTTTTCAGTGTTTGCATGTGTACTGGGTTTGATGGACTAGGGTTTTCAGTATTTGCATGCATGGTTGTTTTTATTTTATGCAACTGTATTATATCATATGAATATCTTCTTGATGGGTCAGATTTTGCAGGGTTGTCATGAAATTTGACAAATTTTGCCTCAGTGTCTCAGAACAGTGGTTTTCAAATCGCTCCTCAAGGACTCCCAGACGTTTCACAATTTAGTTGTAGCCGTGAAATAAGTCACTGATTCAACCTATCAAGGGCTTGATAATTAGTTGACAAGTTGAATCTGGTGTGCTAGCTCTGGAATAGTTCAAACACATGGAACGGCTGGGGGTACCAGTGGAGAGGTTTGAAAACAGTCTGTTATAAGTCTTTCTCACACACACACACACACACACACACACACACACACACACACACACACACACACACACACACACACACACACACGTACAACTTACACTGTATACATTGGGGTTTCCTTTAAGCAACCCCCTCCAGCACATTACACAGTTGTGCTTTACCTCCTCCCTGCCTATAGGTGGCACCGCATCGCTATCTCCGTGTCGAAGAAGAACGTCACCCTGCTCCTGGACTGTAAGAAGCGCATGACCAGGGCCCTGCCCCGCAGCAACAGCCCCGTGGTGGACACCAAGGGCATCACCATGTTCGGAGCACGCCTGCTGGACGAGGAGGTCTTCCAGGTCAGAGGTCACACAGTCAGGCACTAGTCACTTGTGCAATAGAGCTGTACATGACACTAGTGCCATAGAGATATACCTGTCCCAATATTATTAGACTGCTATCTTTTCTCAACTCCTCTCCTTCCTGAGCATTGATAGAAAGACTGAATATGGGTCTAACTTATTTCTTTGACCTATCAAGTTCTTATAGGTTTGTGGTATCGAAGGAAAAGGGGCTAGGATTGTGAAGGCTACTGGGACACGGTTGCTGTTAATACCTGTTGTAGTGGTAGCACTTTTATTAAGATGTTCAATCTGCTTCAGTAAATAGGCTACCATGTTATGTTATTACCAAGCTGAACCACTCACATTGACAGAGTAACTGTAATGTTCTTCATTAACCTTCATGTTCTTCTTCTTCTTGTTTGTCCAACAAAAACCTGATGAACCCTTATTCCTTCAAAGGCAGCTGATCTGCTTTCAGCTCAGGAACTGATTCAAATGATATTACTTCTCATTTCAATGAGGTTTTCTGTTTGTTTTCTATTTCCCACAGGGTGATATCCAACAGCTGCTGATCGCATCCAACCCTCAGGCTGCTTATGACTTCTGTGAACACTACAGCCCCGACTGTGATTCCCCCCTACCCAAGATCCAGTCCCAGGACCCCAACACATACGTGAGTAACACAGCAAAACACCACATACACTGAACAGTAAACTGTAAGTGAATTAGGATTCACCATTGCACCACTACAAGGCACAACATTTTTATATAGTACTTTTACCACTTAGTATCAATGGCGCTCACGTCACTAGAGTCTATCTATGCAGTCCAGCTACTTCAAACATCACGACCACAACATAAAGCAACTCAGGACCACACAACCCAGTGCAACACAACACAACACAGGATAGCATTGTGCTGCTATCCTAAGCTCCAATATTCACTGATATGAAGGCATGTCCACACAAACCCCTCTGCTCACTAAAGGCAGTGAGGCCTCATCATCTCCAGACATATACAGCTCCAGGAAGTCATCAAAGTGCTGCTCTGTCCTCTCGCATTATGAGTTTGTATCTATCCACTTTCCACCTCACCTATGTGTGTTCTGAGGGAATTAAATAAAAGCAGAGCCCTTTGTTTACCACTACAAACAATACACAATAAAAACATGGTACTTCAGTAATACAGGCAAATGGATGAGAAACTGATCAGAAGTAAATTCACGTCATTTGTTTCCTCTTGGGAAAAATGTTGTTTAATTTTTTTGGGGGTTTGTTGAAATCCTAATGCAAGACTCATTTCAATAAAGACACACAAGCATTAAATGACAGTTGATTTGCACTCAACTTGAAAAAAGTGCTGTTTTAGAACAAAATGGAAGACAGAAAGGTCATGGAAAGAGGATGATACAATCAGACTGCTTCTCTACTCTTCATCATTTCATTTCATGACTATAAGGAGAAGTATCGCGTTGGATGCACCAATCACAGAAAACATGTATTAGAAATGCTGCTGAAATAAGTGCTGTTGAATGAATATAAATCGCTGTGGTTTTATTCATTGTGTTTGTTTTCTCATTCATCAAGATCCTCCATGTGTCTCCATTACTATGGCTCCAGACATTAATCGACACATGGAGTCCTAATGAATCGAAAAACATTTATTTTATTTTCCAATGCACTCATCCCCACCATATTTCCCCCTTCACTTCTCCTTTCATGCCTTCCTCCTCACCCCCTCTACCTTTCTCTCCCTTTGAAACTCACTCTTCGCCCCTCCTGTCCTTCATTCCTCTGCCTATATGACCCTCTTGCCCACCCCCCATCTCTATCAGTACTTTGATGAGGAGTAAGATGACCATGAGTACCTCTATTATTATGGGGAAAAACAGACCCCCCCCCCCCCCCCCCCCCTCTGTCCATCTCCCCCTCCTCCCGACCAGGGGGCCCCACTCAACAGGTAAAGAGGGAGCAAGATAATAAAAATAGAGGGAAAGGAGGGAGAGATAGAGGCACAGAGAAAGAGGAATGAAGGCAAATATAAGGTTCAGGCTCAGTACATGAAAAAAAATGTACATTGTTTTTTGTATATTTATACCTTAAGCAATGAGAGGGATTTCTTACTGTAAGAAATCCCTTTCTGTAAGAAATCCCTTTCATAACCCCTGTATGTAAAAAAAGTAATATATATATATCATATTATAAAAGTTTAGGTCACCATGCCTCTCTCCCTGTCACTCTATTTCTCCATACTCTCCTCTGTAATACTGCCCTTCTCATGGTGTCATTCACATGACCACTCATCCTCTTACATCACCTCGTTTCACCTCACCTATCACATTGTATTAACATTGTGTTATTAATGTTGTATTAATGTCATTTACATGTTGTCATTGTCGTATATATGAGTGTGTGTAGGTATGTTTACAATGTGGGGGCACTGGGGGTTCAGGTACAGCACACACTGCCCCTCTCTCCCTTATTCTCTGGCCACACTGGGCCGGACCAACTGTCAAGAGAAGGAAGGAAAATGAATGAATATGGATTATTACCCTCAACTTGGAAATAACAACCTAATGCAGTACATGTTTTGTATGAAAGTAAGCATTAAAGGTAGACTCAGTGATAGCGTCATATCACTGAGTTTGAGTCTCAGTTATGACAAAACAATGGAGCATTTGTATAAAATAACTAGCTGAGGATGAGGAAGGATTATTCTACTCAGACAGCAGTGGGTGAGAAAGGGCTGCCATGTGTGTCCGTATTAACATATCATTTGCATGTCTGATTCATTATGGAATTAACCACTGCATTTCTGCTTTTCATATGTATAAATATTACTGCATGCGTCCACATATTTGACTGTGTTATCGGTCTACCTGTCTTTTGGTCAATGTAAGGTATCGAAGCATCTGTCCCCCTGTACATCCATGGTTATGCATTTCCCCTGGATCTGGCATAAATATGCCCCTGTCTGCCCATTTGTCTGTCAATCTCTCTGTGTCTCAGTTTGACTGCCTGAGATTGTTAATGTCCCTTTTCTATGTTATATTATCCCTTTGTTGTCAATATCTCATTATGTGTACCATGCATGTTTCCCATAGCATGTCCAATTAGCTATTCTTTACATTTATGCACACACACTGTACATATTTTTGTATTCGCCTGAATTTGAATATATTTGTTCCTAGCTGTGTATTTTCTTCACTAGTTAAGATATCAGATCACACCCCAGTAAAACTAACTTTTGTTCGCCTGACACCCAATGCTGCTGCTTCTCTGTGGCTATGAGCTCACAGCTCTCTCGCAGTTGGACGGCTCAGTGCATCAGAGGCTTCTCAGAGTGTCCTTGGCTACAGCTTTACCTGATCGTTACATCCCCAGTGCCTCCGCAAACCACAGGCTCCAGTTTTCATTAGCACAAAGATGCTGCTTTTTTAATATGGAGAATGGCATTACTGGAGAGATCAGCATCCATGGCACTGTACGAGCTGAGTATTAGGCTACACATTGTATTAAATTGACTATCAAAAGATAATTCTACACTGAACCCTGTTGTAATTTGAGTCTTGTCATTGGCACATAGCAACATTCCTACCTTGCTCCAATTAGTCAAGGTTTCAATTGGCTTTAAAATGCTCAGTTCCTATCTTTCCTGTGCTACATTGAAACAACGTCTCTTTATAGGAACTGTAAAGCACCTTTGCCCACTTTCTGCTGTATCCAGTAATGCCAGAACAGTCTCAGTAAATCACCCAAGCCTAAGCCATCTTTAAATCACTGTCTCAAAACATCCACCCTTGTCTTTCTCTCTCCATCTATCCATCCCTTGTGCTTTCATCCCTTCCCACCCCCAATGTATCTCTCTCTCTCTCTCTCTCTCTCTCTCTCTCTCTCTCTCTCTCTCTCTCTCTCTCTCTCTCTCTCTCTCTCTCTCTCTCTCTCCCTCTCAACACCGACCCTCACAAACTACAACACAACACAACCAATACGCATGCACAACAGAAGGATGCCAATGGCAAGGCTGACAAACGCAAACCTGTAGTCGTTAAGGCAGATAAACCTGTAGTAGTTAAGGCAGAAAAACCTGTAGTAGTTAAGGCAGATAAATCTGTAGTAGTTAAGGCGGACAAACCTATAGTCATTAAGGCTCCCAAACCTGTAGTAGTTAAGGCGGACAAACCTATAGTCGTTAAGGCTCCCAAACCTGTAGTAAAGGTGGCAAAACCTGCCTCATCCAAACCTGTGAAAGCAGAGCTTGCCAAGCTTGAGGGCACAGCCAAACCAGCTAAAGCCGCACCTGCTGCCGCCAAGCCCACCAAAGCCAAGTTTTCCCCGGCCAAACCAGCCAAAGCCAAACCTACTGCAATTGAAGTCCTCCTGGCCAAGATCAAACCCACTACAGTCACACCAGTGGCAAAGCCCACACCTGCCACGAAAAAGGGCGAAAAAAAAGTAAATGCCAAACCTATAGTTGAGAAGAAAGTAAATGGTGAGGCCAAAGTCAATGGCAATGCCAAACCTATAGTTGAGAAGAAAGTAAATGGTGACGCCAAAGTCAATGGCAATGCCAAACCTATAGTTGAGAAGAAAGTAAATGGTGACGTCAAAGTCAATGGCAATGCCAAACCTATAGTTGAGAAGAAAGTAAATGGTAATTCCAAGGTCAATGGCAAACCTGTAGTTGAGAAGAAAGTAAATGGTGAGGCCAAAGTTAATGGCAACGGTAAAACTGCTGAGGATAAGAAAGTGAATGGAAATGGCAAAAGCAGCAGTGACAAAAAAGCTAATGGCAATGCAGAAGCAGCAAAACCTGAAACCACTAAAGCACAGCCAGAAAAAGAAGTCACTAAAGTTAAAGTAGAAAAAACTGTGGTCAGCAAAGTGAAACCAGCAAAAGCAGAAACCAAAGTAGTGGTAGCAAAAACCGAAGTCAAAGTTAAAGTAGTAAAAACCGAGGTCACTAAGGTTAAGGAAGCGAAAACCGAGGTCACTAAAGTCAAACCAAGAGAGTCAGTTGTCATCAAAGTTCCTCCCTTCCTCAAACCTGCACCGAAGAAAGAGCTGCCAAGCCCAGAACCTGCACCTGCACCTGCTTTCCCTAAGCCAGAGAGAACTAAGGTGGTGCTTGATGTAAATAACGTCAAATCGATGACCAAAGAAATGCCTCCCTTCGGCAAGACTGCATTCATTGGCACCGTCGTCCCTGTGCCGGAAAAACCAAAGAAGAAACTGGGCAACGGTTATCAACAGGTACAAACAAAGAGCCCGTGGTGGCAGTCCAGAGCTGTATCTTTCACCTATCCCTTCTGGGAACCAGGTTGTTCTCCATCCAGATTTTACTGCAAATGTTTGTTGAACAAGCAGGCTTGTAGTGTCTGCTTTAAATGGATGATAGTTTTAGTGCCACATTTTAGGCGTAAGAGTTTAGACTTTTTTTGACACACTTTTCAAATAAAGTTGGTCTGCAGAGAAGATAAACTATTTGTATACAATGATACATACCTTCACTATGGGTATATTAAGTTTATAGATTACATTAATACTAAAAAGCTGTGACACTTATTTGTTTCATATTCATATCTATTTAAGAAGTAACTGTTTTATACTTGTCTAAATTATACATAGAATTTACAAATCTTCGATTTACCATCTATAAAGCTAAAACTGCACAGTTTGACGCTATTTATGAATTTGCGTTAATTGT